CTCTGCTGCAAGACCCTTGGTCGCCTGTATGACTTAGTTAGCCCGCACGAACAGCGTCTTACATCCTCGCACCAGGGCTAGTAAGAAGACAGAACAGGCACATACATTCCACACCGCGCCCTTGGACGCATTATACCACACGAGTCCCGGCCTGGGCCGTGTGGCGCCCACACTCGCAATGTTGACAATGACGCCTCCCTCTTTCCTCTCAACGGCCTGGCCCACCCACGCCTGACAGCCCAGGTAAACACCCTTCACATTGACGTCGAAAACGCGTTCGAATTCCTCCTCGGTAACGTCCAGCGTTGGCTTGTTTACATAGCTCCACCCAGCGTTGTTGATGAGGATGTCGCAGCGTCCGAACTTGTCCAGGCAGGTACGCATAGTCGCTTCCCAGTCGGCGCGCTTGGTGACGTCCATTTTGAAAGCGGAAAGCGCAGAGGCGTCTTTGGAGGCTGTTGCTTGGGCGGTGCTCTCATTGATATCGCACACAAGGACTTTGGCACCTTCGGCGGCATACCGCAGGGCGATGCCTGCGCCGAAGCCTGAGCCTGCGCCTGTTTTGGGCAGTTAGTGGTGGTGTTGAGCATAGGTGAGCGGAGGGAGATGGACCAGTCACAATGGCGACTTTGCCGTCGAGTCTACCCATTGTGGAGTGATGCGTTTTTTGAGGCGAAAGATGCGAGATCAAGGCCGGGTTGTTTGTTTTGCAATACTGTGTGTTCACAGGCAAAGAAGCTTGCTGTAGTGTAGGCTTCGATGCTCGTATATTGCTAGCAGCAGCAGCGTGTTCGAGTAACCGAGCTTGACTCCGTTGACGGGCTTCTCCCCGCCCTCACCCACCCCATTGTCAGACGTCGCGACCCACGAGTTACCAATCAAGGCAGACCCGAGCCAAAGCCGCATCCGCCCGTGTTGCGGAGAAGCAAGCACGATGAGGGGTAAATCGGAGACAGCGCTGACGTCTGTCGCAGCGCGGTGGTGGTCGGGCTAGATGCGAGCTCATTGGTCATCGCCCGGTTCGGCTATATGGTCGTAAGTGGGGGGTTCAGCGCGTACATGTCATTGATCCCTGAACCTTCAAAAGGGTGGGTTCCGGTTGTTTTTCTGCGGTGACTTGTGAACATTCGCATCGCTTTTGTGTATTACAAAGCTTGATTGTTGTGATAATAAGCAAATATGGGTTCAGCACAGAAATTCGAGCTTCCGTTCAAGGTGAGGACGAGATCTGGGACATGTGGATGACAGTCGCTAACTTGCCAGCTCCAAAATCCAGATTTGCTTCACAACAAGTCGTGTGTCGGTGGAGAGTGGAAGGATGCTAAGTCTGGAAAGACTTTCGAGGTCGTTGGTGGGTTGTTCTTTGAAAGGCTATGAGTTATTACTCACGATACACAGATCCCGGTACCGGAAAGGCGTGGATCGAGTGTCCCGTCAGCGATGCGTCCGACGTTGACGCGGCAGTCAAGAACTCGCACGAAGCATTTCTCGAGTACAAGAAGATCAGTCCACGTCAGAGAGCGCAGTTTCTGTACAAGTGGGACCAGTTGATTCGCGAGAACAAGGAAGACATTGCCACAATTCTGGTCTACGAGACTGGCAAACCGCGTTCAGAGGCTTATGGCGAGATTGACTACTCGACTGGCTTCACATGGTGGTTTGCTGGTGAAGCAGAGCGAATCCAAGGTACCAACTTCGTGCCTGCACTTCCAAACCGTCGCATCTTCACCATCAAGCAGCCCGCAGGTGTTGCCGCAGCACTCGTGCCGTGGAACTTCCCAATTGCCATGATTCTGCGCAAGGCTGGAGCAGCTCTTGCAGCTGGATGCACCATGATCGTCAAGCCCAGTCCTGAGACACCCATCACGGTCCTGGCGCTAGCTCACCTTGCTTTGAAGGCTGGCTTCCCACCAGGCGCACTTAACGTGCTGACTACAGACCTTGACAAGACACCCGAACTTAGTGAAGCACTCTGTCGCCATCCCCTAATTGCAAAGGTCACCTTCACTGGATCCACAAGAGTCGGCAAGCTAGTTGCCAAAATATGCGCAGACAACCTGAAGAAGGTGACTCTGGAGCTTGGAGGAAATTGTCCCGTGCTTATCTTTGACGACGCGAATATCGAACAGGCCATGTCCCAGATATTCGCCTTGAAGTACCGTCATGCAGGCCAGGCTTGTATAACAGCAAATCGAATCTACGTGCAGTCTGGCATCTTCGATAAATTCCTTGAGAGGTGGAATGCAGAGACAGACAAGATCGTTGTTGGCCACGGCTCGGATGAAAAGACCACCATGGGCCCAGTGACAACGCCTCGAGGTGCTCAGAAGGCTCTCGAGCTCGTAGAGGACGCGAAGAAGAAGGGAGCGAAGATCCACAAGGGCGGAAACAAGATTGACGGAAAGGGAGGATACTTCTTCGAGCCGACTGTCATTACTGGCGTGACACCAGACATGGACATTGCCAACGAAGAAGTCTTCTCCCCAATCTGCACGTTCATCAAGTTTGAGACAGAAGAGGAAGTTGTGAAGAAGGCGAACGACACGTCGATGGGCTTGGCATCCTACCTATTTACCAAGAACGTAGACCGAATGTGGAGACTGTTCGAGAGCCTCGAGGCTGGCATGATCGGCTTGAACACGGGTAAGTGGACTCAACGCACAGACATAGACAGCGCGTTAATTGATAACGACAGGCAACTCGTCGGCTGCGGAATCGCCATTCGGTGGCATCAAGCAGAGTGGATACGGGAAGGAGTCTGGCAAGGACGTGGCAGTGAACGAATATCTGATCACCAAGACAGGCACTTTCACGCTGGAAGAGAATGCATGAGCGGCGAAGTAGACACTACATCCCGAAATAATACAGATACAACAGTCATTGTTCAAGTGTTGAAGTGTGAAGATGTTGGTGTGACTGACTAGTGGTTGGCTTGGCGCGCATTCGGCAGCTGTGACCTGGACTTGTTCGGCTGCTCATACATCAGCATTCAGGCAAGAGAGCTCAAGTCAACCGCCCCGCACCTGCCTTCTCTATTGAACCAACACAGCATTCCTCCCTGCCGCCATGGATGTTGAAATGGGAGATGTCGGCTACGACATTGACATTGATGTCGGTGCCAGCATCGGAACCACAAGCGCGCAGCCGCAGCAGCAAGTGAGTAGCGCATGGCGCGTCGCAGTCGCCGTGTCCCGCCTCTGACTTGGGCGCAGCCAGAACCTACCACACAAGGCGACTCAGTCCCAGCGGCGTACTTTGAGGACCTCCAGCCACAGCGTCCATGGCCCGAATATCTGAACCTGCAGGGTGTGGGCAGCTTCGACCCCAACGACCCTTTGTACTATGCGATGGAGACGCTCGGCACCGAACCGCGCGTTAAACAGCTGCGCTGGGTCAACGATAACTCGGTGAACCTCGAGTTCTACAGCGCCGACGACGCTGCGACAGCGTTGATTGCCTTCACACACCCCGACGCGAACGCGAGCTCTCTCGCCGCGCAGACCTCTCGACCGGCCAAGCCCTACTCTAAGAAGCCAGACAGCGTTTTGACGATACGAGAGTCGAACGCAGGCGATCAGAAGCCCAAGGGCGCCGCCAACCGCAGCAATTACTACCAGCGCAACCCGGACGTGCGCGACAACAAGCAGAGGGAGCCCCGGCGCCGTCAGCCACCGAAGAGAGATGTGCTCGACTATGGCGACGAAGAGCAGGGCTCGAAAAGTCGGAGGAGGAGAAGGTAGGCAATTGCGCTGAAGCCTGAAGCCTACCGCATCACGCTAACGCAGAGCAGCCGCAGTGGAGACATGTCTATGGACGAAGATTCGGGCGTGGAAAGGCGGAGGAACAACTATCCGCGCAACGACCGCAATGGCCGTGACCGCCGCGATGGGCGAGACAGGAGACCGCGAGACTCGGGCAGGCTGAATGGTGACGTGGACTCGTATAGGCCTGGCGGTGACACGTACGGTAGAGCCTGATTCCTGTTTGACGAAGCTAACGTGACTCAGGGAATCTCGACATGGTCGCCTCCGCGGCCGCAGTGCCTCTCCTGCCTCGGGTGATGAGGGCGACGGTCGATACGGCTTCGCAGAAGACAGCAGCAACGTGCGCACCCGCTATCGTAGCCGGAGCCGAAGCCGCAACGCCCGTCGTCGCCGCGAGCCCAGCGCCGAACGCTGGACGCACGACCGCGCAAACTATGGCGAGAAGGGCGGCAAGACCGACGGTCGCTGGCAGAAAGACATGTGGAATGTCGAAACATCGCCCATGGGCAATCACCGCCGCTCGGACGCTGGATCAGGCGGCTCTCTGCTGTCTCGCATGACCAAGGACGGTCGCCCGGTGAACTCGCTGGCTAGTAGGATTACACGCGACGACGACGAGCCCCGCCCGCGCTCGCTGGCTAGCCGCATCACTCGTAGTGGAGAGGACGACGGGTACGGGCGACTGAAGGGGGACGACAGCATACCCCGCGACTACGACTTCGACGAGCCCAAGCCCAAACGTGGGCTTGCAGACCGCATCTCGAGAGAGACAGAGGGCATAAATATTCGAGGGCAGGGCTCATCCACAGGGATCAACATCCGTGGCGTTGCCAATGCCTCGTAGATAGAACGAATCCACATGTAGGATGTATGGCATATATATTGCGAGAAAGCCAATCTATCACATGGTGTTTCAAGCTCCGGAAGTATTTTGTCCTCTTTATCAATCGTTCTCACTTTCCCCAATTCTTTTCCTTTTTCTGGTTTCAACCCATCCAATCCAGCAAGACCATGCGACGCCACAGTCCACCACCAGGACCAGCACAGACACAGTTTCAAGTTCCCAATCTAACTCGCACCCGTCAGTTCTGCCCCACCTCTTGCGCGCCCGCGTTTGGCGATCCCCAACTGGACGCCCCGTGACTTCTCTCCATAACACCCAATCTGGAGGGGTACATAAACGCCATACTCCGCCGAAACTGTCAGAAGTTCTTACAATCCTGGCTTCAGTTCCTGGTCTCCGTGGCGCAATGGTAGCGCGTTGGACTTCTACTTCTCTCCTTTTCGGGAGGCAATCCAAAGGCTGCGGGTTCGAGCCCCGCCGGAGATGCTTTTCTTTTTTTGCGTTCGCTTTTGAGTTGTTGCGCGAATGTCTCGCTTCATTTTTGCTGTCTGTGCCTGCGACAGATGAGACACAGTGATGGACGGATACCCACGTGGGCGTTCCTGCTCTGGATGGGCTGATGGGTTCCTTCTTCCCTTTTTTGCACGGGGTGACGACGACGCAAAGTCAGTAGGTCTGGCGAGCTAGCTGTTTTGCTATGTGAGCTTCGGACTTTGTTTGACTTTGCGAGTCCCCCCATCTCGAAAGCGACCAAACTCTGTCTTGACATGCAGAGTTCAGGCACGCCTGAGATGGGCGACGCCACGCTGTGCTGCTTGCTGCGCCGGTTGTATGCAGGAACGCAAAGTCTCTATCTATTTGATACGTCTTTGTCGGGCAGGAAAGTCTGGGTGTCGGTAGTCTTTACGCGGACTGTCTGGCTAGTTTGATGGCAGGTAGCACACGTGTGTGCTTGCTTTGGTTGATTACTTGACTATCTGACGCTTTTGGTCTCTGGGGAGACGAATCTATATGTCGCATCGCATCGCGCCGAATCTCCTGCCACTTTTCCATACCATCATATCCTATATCGTGTCTGATCCACCCATTTTGGTTTGGTCTGAATCGTCGTTTGCCTGCCGCCGAAGGCCCCATAATCATATATCCATACCCGTAGCTTCTTTTTCCCATGATTTTTCGTAGACATCCAGTCAGGGTGTACTTTGCCGTCGAGTCCTCAAGAATAACGCCGCCCAAAAACGCTCAGATATAACGAACAGCAGCAGTAAGAATAGCAATAGCTGCATCAAAGCTCTCCAAACGCTTAACGCATCAAGCAAAGAATACACGCAACAAGCCCGGCCTGCGTACCTGTCACTCAGATTAGAAACTCCCCAACTTTCCGTCTCTGCAGCCGTACATATCGGTCCAACAGCCAGATGGGGAAGGAAGTGAGCAGCGCAACGCCGTGCACCTACTAGAAGCGACCGCGCTCCTGCACGCGCTCAACACCGTCTGCGAAACTGCGCGTCAGGCCCACGCTAGCCCAGAAGTCATCGCCTACATCGCCACGCCGAGTGAGCCGCTCCAGCAGATTGCGCGCGTCACGCAGCTCTTGGTCCAAAGGCGAAGCCAGTCCTGTGCTCGGCGGTGTGTCATCGTCGACGACCGTCGTCGCAAAACTGTCAGCTTCCTGTCCACGCTCCTCTCTCTCGGGCTCAGGGCTCATGGCTGGGCCGTTCATCTGCCACGGCCGATACGGTGGCCTCTCGTGGGAATAGTAACGACGAATGTATCTTCGTGCGTCAATTCCCTGCTCCATGACGCTCCTGCCATAACGCCTAGGACTTGGTGGCTCGTCGGCGAAGTAGCTGGGGCGCATCCTCCTCCGTGAAAGCGTGTTTGCAGTCGCTTCGTCATCGGTATCGGACGCCGTCGAGTCGTCCTCGTCTGAGGATTCGCAGGCTCGCGCGAGACTCTCGATCGTTTCCTCGCCCCGTCTGCGTACAGCGCCGGCACTCGGCCTCCGCGAGGGGATGGTAACGTGAGTGAGCGAGCTCGCGGCCGAGTTGGAGTTGCTGCTGCTCGCTCTGCTGCTTGAGGCGGCGAAAGAGGCGCTAGCGGCGGATGATGCGAAAGAGGACTCAGCAGTAGGTGCGACTGGATCAGGGACGACGGTGTGGAGAAACGTCTGCCAGGCGGGGTGCGAGGACGTGCTGGACACGCTGTTGCTGCGCTCGCGGTCACCCAGACCATCAATGGTCGAGACGGGGGACCAGGATTCGCGGTGTGACGAGGGCAGTGGTCCGTCGGCAATCCTGCGGTGGCCCACACGGCGAAGGGTCGGGTGAGAGACGGCATTGGTGGTGCGGGCAGTGTCGTCGTCATCTCCGCCGTCCTCGGTGTGCAAGACGGTGTCGTTCTCAAGGAAGGGATTACGGACAGTGCGTCTTCGTGCGTAAGGCAGGCCATCGAGTTCTATGCGGCGTCCGGCCACAGCCCGAGCAGGTGAGCCTCGAGACGGCGTTCGCGCCAACCGGCCACGGTTGGACACGTTACCCCGGTGCCCATCGACGTCACTGTGGTCGCGGGCAAAGGTGTCGAGTAGGACGGATTCTGTGTAGCGGTTGGATGTTGGACGTAGCCCAGCAGGTGCAAAGCCAGGCGTCAGGGCGGGCAGCGGGCGCTCGTCGGCTGCCTCGCGGGCACTGTCACTGCCACTGGCGCTGCTACTGCTGTGCGGGCGCGGCAGCGGCAGATGGTTGCGGTCCAGGTCCGGGGCTCGCTCCAGGTCGTGCGCGCGCAGCTCAGGCACGGGCGGGGCGGGCGGCAGTGGAGAGAGGCGAGGTTGGGAGAGGCGAGGAGAGGGAAGACGTGGAGCGTTCTCGAGGAGGGCACCGAGGGTGTAGCGGCCCAGAGACCTCGGGGGCAGGCTGCCTCGCGCGCGCCGCCGGATGGGCGATCGTGAGCCGATTACGTCGGCGCGCAGCACGTCCTTCTCCTTGGCCTCGTCGCGCACAATGTTCCAGCCGACCGGGATGCCCATCGCGACGTTTCGCCAGCGCAAGTGAGTGGATAGGTGAGTGGAGAGCGGCGGTGGCGAGAGAGGCGGGCGGCACTGCGAGCCCTGGAGGAGATGCGGGTGCGGATGCGGTCGTGATAGAGAAGCAAGGAGCGGTACAGGTGGAGCGTTCCTGACGCGCTAGCCTAGTGCCAGAAATGAGGCTGGAGTGGAGTGCGAGCCCGGCCTTATGCACGCTGCATGCGGGCGCAGCACACCAGCAACAGCAAACGGCTATCTCGAGTCCTGCAGGGCGGCGCAGGGCGTAGGAAGGGTATTTATTTGCAGTGGCCGTGTTGACATGCCACTGTAGTGGCTGATCCGGAAATGCCCCTCACGCCCCAAGTGATCGTTGCAAGGCCTGCAGAGGCCAACAGGGAGCCGCGATTCAACCCCGAACGCCAAGACAAGACTCCCTGATTCGGCAAGGACAGCCCTTCTTCCCTGTATCATTCCACAAATGGATTGTGCCTCGACTTGACCATCGAGCCCCATCAACGCTGCCTGTGACTGCTGTAGCTCATGGTATCCTGATACATTCCATGGCTAGGATCCAGCCTGGACTGGAGCGCATCGCCGCCTTGCTGAAAGGTGTCGACTTCCCGTGGAAATCCATTCACGTGGCAGGCACCAACGGCAAAGGCTCCATCTGCAACTATGCCTCCTCCATGTTGGTAGGAAGAGGTGTCAAGGTTGGGAAATTCACCTCTCCGCATCTAGTCGACAGGTGCGTGATCCTTGATTAGTGCGTGCAAACCTAGCTGACTTGGTAGATGGGATTGCATCACCATCAACGGCAAACCCATCAACGAACCACAATTCAGCATTGTGGAGAGGCATTACAGTAAAGTCAACGAGAAGCACAACATAGGAGCTTCACCGTTTGAGATCTTGACTGCGACAGCTTTCACTATTTTTAATGATGCGAAAGTCAACGTTGGTGTTGTCGAGGTTGGTATGGGTGGTAGGCTCGACTCAACCAACGTCCTCAACAACCAAGCCGTGTCCGTCATCTCTAGAATCGCTCGAGATCACGAGGGGTTTCTTGGAAACACGCTGTCTGAAATTGCGAGCCACAAGGCTGGGATTCTGAAGCCCGGTGTTCCGTACATCGTGAGTCCTGCTAACGAGTTCAATGTTCAGGCTGTAATACAAGACTATGCCAAAGAAATAGGAGCGGGCGACCGTCTTTCCCTCACCAGCTTTGGGCTGCAGGAAAAGCTTTACACACTTTCGAGATGGCAACGTTTTACGTCTTCTATGCTGCCCTTTCAGATAGAAAACCTCAAGCTTGCAGTAGTTGCAACCATGCAGGTGCTCGACAGCTTGCATGGAGCTCACACCACGGACCAAATAAACAAGCCAAAAGACCTTGCGAAGCAGGCGAAGATGAGAGAGATTGCAAAGACTTTGCTGTCGAACGCGAGTATACAAAACCCGGGGCGACAAGAGATGCTTCATTTACCACCGGTTTTCAGGAATTCCTCTGAGAGGAGGAACCAAGTCCTTATCGACGGTGCCCACAATCCTAATGCTGCAGTAGCCCTCGACACGTTCATCCGGCAGAATTTGAGGCTCGGAGCTACTCCTCGCACAGAACGCCCTGACTCTGGGTGGCCTGTTACCTGGGTCCTTGCAATGACGGAAGGGAAAGATGCCCGGGAGTATCTTGCAACATTGCTGAAGGCAGGAGACAAGGTTGTCACTACTACATTCGGCCCTGTCGCCGGTATGCCTTGGGTGAAGCCTATGGATCCTAAGGAATTGCTCGAGATTGCCAAGTCTGTTGCACCACAGATTACTGGAGTCCACGTCCCAATAACGGGTGCGCTGAGGGCTGTCTGTACGGCGAAATACTTATCAAATCGAATCGCGCCTTGGTCACCCATAGTCGTGACAGGCAGCCTCTATCTCGTTGGCGATTTACACCGCGAATTACGACCGCGAGCTGACAAGCATTGGTGGACAGACGAGGATCCCGCCGTCGCAGCAGACCGAGAGTTATTCCTGCGGATCCAGGCGGAAGAGCGTGAGCGCGTAAAGTCTGTCCTCAGCCCTATTCCCGAAGACACAGGAAAGTTGCAAGACGAGCTTGACGCCCTGAACCGCGAGATCGAACATCTCAGGGTTGAGAAGGAGTCTTTGAGTGCGCCAGAGCGTCTTGAGCACGAGGACCAGCAATTTGCAGAGCTATACGCAACACCAGAGCAAGTTGCGGCTCACCTTGCGAGGGCTGAGGCCGCCAAGAGAGCCCTTGCTCGTCACGAGGAGAGTGTTGCAGCTGCAGCACAGAGAGCAGCGATCAAGGCTGAGGAAAAACATGCACGACAGGAACGTATCGTGGAACGAAAGGAACACAAGAGAGAGAAAAGGATACAAGAGCGGGAACAAAAACTTCGAGTCACAGGTAGCGGAAGAACAGGAAGACGAACACCATAGCCAGCAT